GGCCTTGATCGCGCATGACACAACGGAATATATTATTTTTAAGGTTTTAATTGAGACTTAAGTAAAACCAGTACTTCAAACAGTTTATTACTCATTTTTCTTATTAGTCTATAGCTATATTAGTAGTATAGTTGTAGCACGAATGGGTCGGCTCGACCGCGCAAGGACCACTCACTCACAGAATATCAGCGTAAAATAGCAGCTTAACACTGCTGTGTTTCGTATGGTGAGTGTAAAGAACCAGAGACCCTTTTTATTGGAAAAGAGGCATTCCATAGTAGTCCTCACGGGTGACAACGCATCTGCATTTTGATTCTTTATTGAGGAGAGATGTATATGTCTATGGGTCACAGTAACCACTAACCATTAGGTGGACTGTGTGCTCGCTTGTCACCCTATCCTAAAAAAACAAACTCTATGAGGCCTCATGATCATGCCCCCAAATGAGAAGTCACTCCACAGGGACAGAACTTGGCAAACAATTTCTGTGTTTCCGTTACTTACAACAGAGGAATCAGAATCCTCTAATAACATGTAATAAGATATATCTTTTGACTTTTTTTATATCACCTTCAATATTGTCTAAAACCTCCGATTTTTCTCTCGCTCCGACCGACCGACCAAAGTTTTACGTGTCTCCTTCAAACACAGACTATTATGTGGAATAATTAAAAATTACACGAGTCAAGGGGCATAGCCGATGATATTTTGTAGAAAGAAAGAATTGCTACGCCATCTATCAATTTGGGCCCAGATTAAGGATTCAATGACGCGTTCAGTTTTATCTACGACAACATTGACATTTAAAATTAATGTCACCTAAGATGTCACAATAGAATCAGTTATCTATTACTAAAAGTATTTTAGCAAACACAGTATCTACAAAATACTAAGATACCAAATAAAAGGTATTTAAATACAAGATACGAAATGAATTTAAAAAAAGTTTTATAGTTACAAGATTTAAATACGTATTTTGTATCTTGTATCTGTATTTCAGATACTTGTATCTTAGATAAGTTACATCTCTGCAAAATTCTCATGATGAAAACTTAGCTCAGCCCAAATACCTACTATGATCTAAACAGATAAAATTTGAGTCAATATAGTAATAGTCCCTACATATAACGATCGGGGCCAATAATTTCGAAATGTTTATAGACTTGCCCACAAACTAATAAGAAGTTTCTAGCGTAGACTTGCAATAATATTTTCATAAGTCACCTATTTTTTCCTATTTTAGAAAACCTGCGGAAAGTGATAAGATGATTTTATGCTTTTTATTTGTACAAAACATAATTAACTCACTTTCTATTCTGATCAAACCTAATACATAAAAATTTTAAATAATAAATTCATTTACTTATTAGTCAATATCTCATACAGAGACAATATCTCACAAAAAATTCACCAACTCCAATATAATAAAAAGCTGATAAACTTTTAGTTTATTTAATATTATCCTCCTGTGGCAACCCTACCAAAATAGGTAAACATTTTGAACGCTCCTTAGCTTTGCCACTGGTAGAGGTGTCCATCGAAATACATCGATGTTTTTTTCGATGTGATGCATTGAGACTGTGCATCGATATATTTCGATGCATCGGTTAGAAACATCGATGTTTTTGCAACATCGAGTACTTTTTATGACTTTACATTATAAATCTGTAGTCAACTTCCTGACATCCCCATTCAAACAATCGACAATTTTGAATGATCTACTCTTACATCGGCACTGTCTTTGTCCGCACGCGTTGTGTGTGTGTTTGTGTGTGAGTGTGTGTATGCGAGTGTTCAAGGATGTAAGACAGTTAGATAGATATTATTTATTGCACGAAACACAAAGTATCTTAATCTTAAGAATATTATTATTAACAGACGAATATATTCATAGTTATTTATATTTATATATTTATTGTTTTTTTTTTTACTTTTATGCACAAAAGAAAAATCGTATATATGGCGGACTCAATGCCTTAAGGCGTTCTCTCCCAGTCAATTATATATACTATTTATATTTGTATTTATTTATTTTATATATTAGTAAAATTTATATATATCTTAGTTATTTATTTTTTATTATGTTTTTATTCTATTCTGCTACACATTTTCAGTTCGCCCTTTGTATTATTTTATATTAAGGAATGCAATAAAGAATAAATAAATTATTATTAATGATCATTAGTCATTGTACCTACTACTAAATAGACGGCGGCTCTAGACCAAATTCACGAAAAATGTGTCCCGAGTCAACCTATAAAAACGTATTATTTACTCGTATATATAATCTTACTTGCGACAATTTAGCAGTCTTTCAACTACAACCAGAAGCTGTTTTCATCTTATGCAGCTTCTAGCGAAAATTATCGGTTTGATTTTGTGTTTTTACAATTAATGTGAATTTAATTTAAATACTACGTATGTTGTATCTAAGCAAAATATTACTTTTAAATTATTAAAATAGTCCTTATCGAAAATATATATAAATATAAATAGTTTTGCTCGTTTTGTGATACAGTAATTTTGGAGTGTATTATCAATCGACGCAACGAAGACTGGCGCGCAATTGCAACTCTTTTTGCATTTTGGAACTCTTTTGACTCGGACACTTGAGTGCAGATCCGAGGGTCCATTTAGTAGTAGGTCAATGTTTACGATATTATTTTAAATGATTTTAATAGAAAAAAAAAGCATGCATCACAATAAAAATACTTACATATGGAATATAACTCCATCTTTTGTAAATTTTAAGTATTTTGACTGCTTTATGATCGCACCGATCGGTATTTTTTAAAGAGCACCTACTTCGGCGGAAACGATTCTTGTAATAATAAAATCGATTTCGTAAACAGTTTTTATAAACGCACAAGCTTTTAAATCCAATACCTTGACAGAGGGGAATAATTATGCGAGATGAGGTTAAATGTTCTTAAGGCGGCTATCACTTGCCTGCCGCAGGGGCAATCTAGCAGGGGTAGATCATAGCTACCACGCCACATGTGTAACGCAAATGGGGCAATTTCAAACAGTTCGTAAGCGACTTTCGCATGCAGCACACGTCATAATGGATACCAATAAAACATATGAAATTTGGACACTGGTGATAGAAGTGTATAAAGAGGCGGCTTCTTCACCCAGTATCTCCTTTTTGTCTTTTTTTTTTTTGCGGTAGCACCGCAGAAAGAACGTTATCTGAACGTCGTAACGTTTTTAAACGTGGTAGAGTCATACTGCAGCTTTTAAAGACTGTGTTATGGGTGTAATTATTAATTAATTAGTTGTTTTATTAATAAATATGGGTGTCTATGGGCCACAGTATCCACTTAACGTCAGGTGGACTGTGCTCATTTGTCACCCTTATTCTATATAAAAAGAGCCAAGGCTATATTTACCGATTCATTTATATTTTGATAAAACTAGCGCCATTCTCAACGCGTGTATCCAGCGAGACGTACACTCTCACATAAACTGGCAGGCATGTGTGTAGACACAGTTCTGATATTGCCCCGATCGCTGTTCGTTCTAGATTGCCCTGCGGCACGAAAGTGAGAAGCCGCCTTAAGACCGAGACAGACCAGACGATTTTCTTTAATACACAACCAGCCAATATCAATTTCTTGATCCCGCTAAGGGACTGACAGCCGCCAACTAGCGCCAACTAGCGCAACAGGTTTAGATATTATAACTTCTAAATCAGAGCATGTTTTAGTTTTTCTGATTTAGAAGTTATAATATTAATAGTGATAGATAAGTATACCTGTTTACAATTGACTGGTTATCATTGATTCGATGTTTTATGAAAATACATCGATACATCGAGTATATAAATGATTTTCAAAACATCGGATCGATTCGATGCATCGTATTGTAAACATCGAGCGAATTCGATGCATGAATGTCCCTAGCCACTGGTCAGTTTCTTTACTCATGTGCGCTAACGCTTGCTCTAAGCTTAGCCTACATATCTTATTCACTTTTGTAAGTCTACAGCTGGACATGGGGCTCTTCTGTTGTAGGCAGGGCTTGCTCTAATCATCAAGCTTAGTAGACGAATTGATGATTGCAGTAACATACGTCTCGCACTTATGACCCTGCTGCCCGTCGCCGTCATAGGGTATTTCACATCTAACTTAAACGCGATGATATTCCGCCATATATCGGACTACCATAATCAGGGCCGGATTAACCACGTCGGGGCCCTTAGGCAATGGAAGTCTCGGGGCCCCTTTGCAGCCAGCATAAAGGGATGTAACGTATCGATATTATTAGATCTTCTACTCGATACTAGATGGTTTTATTTGTAAGTATGAAATATTTCATCAACTGACAGTATGTGTCGATAAAACGTAATAATACCTATTGTCACTGATGTTACAAATTTTCCAATAAAATGTTCTCGGTATGAAACATTTTCCATTATATTTGTGCGCGCACGGGGCCCCTAGGCAGTTGCCTACTCTGCCTAAAGGTTAATCCGGCCTTGAACATAATTATTAATAACTTACCTATTGTCTGACAAATAAATGTCTAATATATTTATAAATCTTTACAAACACGACACCAATGAACTAAGGTACAAAATTTATACAATCAATAATTCTGGATAACAATATCGTCAAACACAATATCAGCGTAGTCGACGACGTCATCATCCTTTTATAGTTCACTGCTAGAATAAGGGCTTTCCAAAAATTGTTCAGCTAACATGTACTATTGAAAGACTTGCCCATTCTCTTTATTCTAGGCAGGTGAATGAAGGTGAGTGCACAGCCAATACTCGATCCCTCGCAATTATAACGCTGTTCTCCTTTACCACCTTATTAAATTTTGTCTAGGATAAATTATGTTTAAATAAATTCAAATAATATTTATGTAAATCAATTTAAGAAAATGCACCAGTAAAAAAAAATTTATTGTAAACAGTCTTAAGAAATTATTATTCTTATTTAATATCACATACATTTAAATGGCTCACTTGAGTGTAATGTTGTAGGGAAAACCTAGCGATGCACAACCGCTTCTACTGCAACTAATAACCTGAAACAAGTAATTTTTTGGTATAAATAATTTGCATAATTAATAATAATTAAGTCCAGACAGGCAGAATTTCTGCAACATCCAGTCTCAGCGAAAACTAGCCATCTACGCAGAACAAAATCATAGAGGACGCTGCACGAGCGTGTGTGCAAGCACAACTCTCTTATTCTCTCAATTTCATAGTCCGATAGGAGGGCGATCCGGAAATGATATGACGCGGGATCAACGACGCGAGGTACGGGGATGAAAATTGACAGAAAACCCCAATAATTGCTTTTTTTATACAATAAGGGTGACAAACGAGCACACAGTCCACCTGATGGTAAGTGGTTAATGTGGCCCATAGACATCTACATCTATCTTCGTTTGCGAATCGAAATGCAGATGCGTTGTCACCCGTGAGGACTAAGATGGAATGCCTCTTTTCCAGTAAAATGGGTCTCCGGTTCTCTACACTCACCATACGAAACACAGCAGTGTCAAGCGAGCGTGCTCCTTCCCCGGTCGAGCCGACCCATTCGTGTTACAACTATACTATTAGTATAGCTGCAGCATGGCTTCTACCACGTGAAAATTATTATTGGCCTCAGTTCGAACCCGGGATGCATGATTAGCGGTCGCTCTTACGACCTGTCGAGCTGTGATGAGAAATTACACATAAAACCGTTGGTTTTTATTTATTCTTTATTGTAATTACCTTGAGTCGTACAATGGGCAGACCTTGTGGCATTCTCTGGCAGTCAAGGTGAAAGGGAAAATAAGATAAGTTTAGGCAGGTGTAGACTTTAACCAAAAGAACGGGAAGGACTAATATACAGGTATACATAACATGTATATACGTAAACATATGCATATACAAATACATAAATACATCCATACATACATATATAAATAGATATTGTAAATAAGTGTCCTTGACAGACAATTGCGAAAGCATATTCATCTGCACGATGCACAATTTGGTTTCAAACCTGGACTATCCACAGAGAGCGCAATTTTATATCTTAAGCAGACTGTAAGGTACTACATAGATAGAAAAACACCGGTGTATGCCTGTTTTTTTAGATTTATCAAAAGCTTTCGATCTAGTCTCTTATGATATCTTATGGCGAAAGTTACAGAAGGAGACTAATTTGCCCCAGGAGATTATTTCCGTGTTTAAATATTGGTATAGTAACCAAATAAACTATGTTCGATGGGGTAGTAGCTTTTTTGAGAGGTATTGGCTGGAGTGTGGGGTCAGACAAGGAGGGTTGAGTTCGCCTACTCTTTTCAACCTATAGGTACATAGACCATTTGATTGTGGAGCTCAGCAGCACTAAAGTCGGTTGTTCTAAAGACGGAATTTGTATAAATAATATAAGCTATGCAGATGACATGGTGCTGCTGAGTTCCACGATAGGTGCACTCAGAAGGCTGCTAGGGATCTGTGAATCCTATGCAAAGACCCATGGGCTCAAATATAATGTAACAAAGAGCGAGCTTATGGTTTTTAACTCGGGCACTAAAAGGCAGCTCACCATGCCTACTGTTAAACTCTGTGATAGTCCTCTAAAGAGAGTCGTCAAATTTAAGTACCTAGACCACTGTGTAACAGAGGACTTAAACGATGACTTAGATATAGAAAGGGAACGCAGGGCGTTGGCTGTTCGCTGTAATATGCTGGCCCGCAGGTTTGCACGATGTACGAAAGAAGTAAAAGTAACGCTTTTTAAAGCGTATTGTCAGTGCTTTTACACATGCAACTTGTGTAAAAAAAAGATATATGTAATGTACGCGGGATGGTTAATTTGTTAAGTTAAGAATATAAAGAAAAAGAAGTTATATACTAACACTATCTAAAGTTTTTTTTATCATTGTTGTTATTATTATTATTGTTATACTAACATCTCTATGGACTGAGTCTGAATAAAAATATTATTATTATTATTTTTAATAAAATGAAAGGTGAATATTATGTTGTGTTAGTCTTCACATAACGGCGTCGAGGCAGTGTTTTAAAACAGTTTATTATATACATTTTTGACATCTTCGGGGAGGATGTTCCAGATTTACACTAATCTGGAACACCCTAACTGGTAACGCCTAAATGGTAAATGATTTGAGGAAGCTGGTATTATACTGCAGGATACCGATCTTAAAACTATTTATGGACGAAGTATTTGATCTATAGTAGAATAAAAAAAATGGAAGTTATGTTTAAGATACCATAGATTGATTGATGAGACCATTGGGTGAAAATAATTTAGAATAAAAGAGACGTAAAAGAGAATTCTGAGCTACGCCTTTGTGGAATAATAAGTACTTAATTTAATTTTTATTTGATAAAACAATATAGTCATACTTACATAAATCGAAAATGAATCTTATGCAATTATTGAAAAAGCGGTGCAACTTATTTCGAAGGTGTTGGGATAGATCTGAATAGTACACATCTGCATCATCAATCATTCGTATCGGATTACTGCTCCCATAGAAATGGACTGTTGAGTGAGGGAAATGGGAGTGCACCTACGCTTAAGTACACTCGTGCACTATAATCATATCCTGTGCAGATGGCTAGTCTCCGTTGCGACTGACCGGCGTGACCAAAATTGTGTATGAAGGGTATTATTATTAATAGGTCTTTACCTATGAAATTGCCGTTCTGCAGTACTGGCCATTTCAAGTTTGACTAAGAATTCTAATTTCAAATTAATTTTATTTTAAAAACATGGAATTCTTTTTTCAAAATTAGTAATTTGTTTACTGATTAGCGTTATGTTTTCATCGCATTTGAATCTTTTTCGTCATCATGGATACGTTAAAAATCTGAGTAATTATAGAATATGAGTACCGTCGTGGTAGCAACGCAGCACAGCACAAGCGGCACGCAACATCAACGAAGTTCACGGTCACGGAGCGAATAGTAAAAACGAACGCTCAACCTGTTATTATTGTTTGCCCGTCCCGTTCGGGAAATTTCGATCTTAAAAATGAACCCCGTGGTCGTCCGAAAACTTTGGTCGACAATGACGAATTAAAAGCGATTGTGGAAGTTGATGATACTCAATCTTCGGTTGAATTAGTAGCAGCTTTCGACGTTAGCATCAAAACAATATTGGTCCATTTGGGTCAAATTGGCAAGGTAAAAAAAGCTTGACAAATGAGTGCCCCACGAACTCAATGATCGCCAGCGCGAAGTACGTGTCGAGACATAACTTGCACTGCTTAACAGGCACACAAACGAAGGAATTTTCAACAGCATTGTTACCTGCGACGAAAAATGGATTCTGTTTGACAATCGCAAGCGCTCAGCAAGTTGGTTGGGATCCTGGTTCAGTACCTAAACAATGCCCTAAACGAAATTTTACCCCTAGAAAAGTGATGGTCACTGTTTGGTGGTATATCGACGGTGTGATTCATCACAGCTTATTACCAAACGGGATGAGCATTAGTGCAGATGTGTACTGTAATGTACTGAACACAATTATGGAAAATCTCGCACATCTCAAACCAGCTTTGGTCAAACGCTCGTCCCCGCTGCTCCTGCACCACAACGCGCAACCTCCGACTGCACAACAGACGGTCTGTAAGTTACAAGAGCTGGGGTTGGAAGCTCTGCGTCATGCGCCGTACTCACCGGACCAGGCGCCTACAGACTTCTATATTTACCAGAATTCGGATAACTATTAGGCGGGAAAAAATTGGCAAAAAGGCAGTACAACATGTCTTTGAGGAATTTGTTGCCTCCCGTCCAGCTGATTTCTTCAAGAAGGGTATCAAAAAACTGTGTTGGCAAAGATGAATCGATTGCGTGGGTGATTAGTTTGATTAAGAGAACTAAAAAATATTTAAAAAAATACGTGAACATATTTAAAAAAAAAACGGCAATATCATAGATAGAGACCTAATATTTAAACATACAAACCCTGTAATTTTTGCCTCCGTATAAACACGCAGATTATATAAAAAGCATTCTTATGAAGAAAAGATATTAAAATAAATTAATTTTTAATAAAACATTTTCAAAAAAACAAACAGGTAAAAAAATTAAAAAAGTTTCAAGTATGTAAATATTTGGACTAATATTATAAACAAGGTACATACTTTTCTAATAAGATATTTCTTTGTCTTTCAATTTCCAATCTCTCCTTTTCCAGTTTCAGTCTTATATTATTACATCTCTTTTTCTCCAGCAGTTTTTGCTTCTCAATTCTAATTCTTTCCTCTTCTAAGCTTAATAGTCTGTCATGAACAAGCCCTAAAACATAACAAACACAGTACTTACAATTTTTTATATTTAATTATAAAAAAATGCTAATATCATTATTCAGTTATATTTTTTAATATAAGTAATATCTATTCTATGTGTATGGATAAATAGTCCATACATAATTTATGAAAGTAAAATTCCTCTAAAATACAGGAGAAAGTTCACAGTGTGAAGTACTCTATCTGTAAATAAATATGATATTTATGCTTATTCATATGACAAATATTTGCTTCAAAGTAACCAGACAATTTGTATAAAATTTAAATGATTGATCATTGTATTGACACAGATGTACTTTGACTATAGTTTTTATTTTTTATTATTGTATAGTTTACATTCATTGTATCGGTACCAGGCTATATCTGTTACTGAAATTTTACAGTTTATTTATTAAATATAAATAAATCAGAATAATAGTGAAACACAAGTACTATAGTCCGCGCGCTACTAGTTGGATTAGGTGGCGAGGGGTGAGGCTGGGGTTGCTTAATGAATGAAAACTGAGTAATAACAGGTAGAGCCCCGCTCTCCCGTCCCGCCGCTCACATACCCAAGGCGCGGCCAACTAGTTGCGCCCGAACTATTCAATTTCAAAATTATAAAAAGTGATCAGTAGTACAATTGTGTTTTATTATTAGTGTGGTTTTAAATTGTAATTAGTGTTCTGTAATTAAAGTGTCAATTTTGGTAATTCAATCGGCAGTTTTTAATTATCTCGAACGTCAAGCTCGTAACAGTATCAATACAATAACAATGAAGGTGGAGTTTCATTATAATATGACAACGATACGAAGTATATATAATATTTTAAATTGTCCTTATATATATTATATAAATTATATTGTAAATCCCATCCATTTATGTGGAGAAGTACAAGTCTATGCACTCAATTTTTTTTATTTTACTTACTGACTGGCCGTCCTCTTTTCCACAATGGTTTTTCTGCATTTGGTGCAGATGTGACTTCATTAGATTCCAGGACAGGATCTATATTGTTACTGATTCCATCCAAGCGCATTTCAATTTCTGATTGTGTAAATTGGTGCTGATCAGTAGACCACTTCTGAAATGGAATTGATATTCAACTTTCTCTTGAAAAGCTGTGCTTTGTTATACACTGTTGTACAACAATGTCCTGAATGGCAGCGTCATAAATAGGGGAAGAGCGGGTAATGGGAGTCAGCGGGTAATGGTGGTCACCTACTTACCTCCAAACTACATATCCAAGAGTCGCGTAAATGACATCTATGCCCCGCTCCGTGCCCCCCCCCCCCCCCTCGAACGACACGCACCAGTAACCGCCGCGCGTTTTGAAATAGGTAATAGCTGCGTTTTGCTTTAGCGCCCCGCCGATGTAAATTTTTGTCGAAAGAAGACAAACGGTAAGTTTCGAATTTCATAAGAGATCTAAATGAGACTTTTATGTGTAATTAGTCTGACATTCATAATAGTGATATATACCTTTGATTACCATAATAATTTCAACTTTTTTATTTCTGACTTTATTCTCATTTGTGTAGGTGTGGGCAATGGGAGTGAGGGTACTCCCATTGTCTGCAATTGACTGTTACAAGTAAAGAATGTAGTATACTATGCCTATACACTTAATTTACTACATGTTAGGTACATACTGCTTTTTTGTTTTGTAGATGCCAAATGTACGGGTCAGAATTACCGAAAATACTACCTGGTCTACCGATAGTTTGAAAATAGCTGTCCAGCTTATTGATCAATAGGGTTATTCCATAATCCGAAAAGCTGCTATAACTATTGATATACCATTTTCAAGTCTACAAATGAGATGTAAAAAAAATCTAACCTGGAGTCACGTCTTGGATGATATACAATCTTCAGTTCCGAAGTTGAAGACGAAATAGCAAATCTGGTGAAAAAGATGGCCAATATTTTTAATGGATGCACCGCTATTCAGATAAGAAGAAGGGGAAAGAAAAAAAGACATATAAGGGTAAAGGAAAAAAGACTAGGGTGCCGAATGTGGGCTCGGAAATTGCAGGAAGGCAAGTTCTCCAGAAATGCAACGTCACTTCGGTATCAGACGTCAACAATAATGGTTATGTCAGGACGATGATGATTATGATTCAGAAGACGCAGAAAACAGATGTCTAGTATGTAGCGAATTTGGAAGGAACAACGAGATATGGTACAGATGTACGTCTCGCGTGGGACTTAGTCAAAGGCTATGTCTGCTATATGTGTTAAATTTTGTTTACCTCTGATTACCCATACGGTGATTTGACCCCCATTGCCCTCACTTCAGTGCAATGGGGGTCAAATCTGTTATTTTTTGGAACTGTCATTATTTCCAAATCTGATTGCCAAATTGATTAAAACAGATGTCAATTGATAGCTAAATAAGTAAATTTTGATATTATTAGTTTCAAAAATATTTTTTTTGTGAAATAAGCTTTTATTTGAATTCTCGCCTAAGTGACTCCCATTACCCTCTTTCACCCTACACCGCCATCAGTCTAACCCTAATGCAGTCGAAATTACGAAAACAAAATGCGGGACTTTTATGGAAAAGAGGAGAGTGAGTTACAGCTTATTACACTCACTAAGTTATTGCTAATAACTAATTTCTTAAATTCTTTGTTACAAACAAATTCAACTATAGGTTAGGTATAAAGGACGGACTCAATGAGATATATTTTTTAATGAAATGAAATAAAGATCGATGTTTGTGTTCAATCCCTGAAATAGACACCAATGAAACTCTTAAAATAATGTAATTATAAGTGGTTAATCTACAAGATCTGCATAATAAAGTAAGAAAGTGTATGGCGTCTGAGAAGTAAAATACTATATAAACCAAGTGTGGGCAACCTTTGACATGTTGAGGGCCAAACTTTAGCGTGCAAATACGTTCGCGGGCCCCATTCTAAGTACTTAGTGCATGTTAAAGTAGTGATAATATTTTTTGCGATAGATATTAGACATGAAATAATACGACAATGTCATTATAGTACAATTTATTAATATAACAAAATGAAATTTAATTTGTTATATTAATAAATTGTATTGTAATTATAAGTACTGCCAAACGCACAAATCAATCTTCTTGCAAATTTTCTAAGCTGCGGAAAATTGTCTTCTTCTAGGTATTTTTTGTAGAAATCGCACAACTACGTCTTCAAATTTGGATTGAATTTTCTTGAATATCGATCAACTCCATTTGTAAGTGTATTGGAGCATTTTGTACATTATATTTTGTAGGAGTAGCAAATAAACTGAAACAGTCTTCCATGTTTTTGAAATCGCTAAATCAGTTCGAAAATTGTTCCGACAGTAACTTGAGTTCTCCAGCATATTGAGCATAAGCAATATTTTCATACGCAGAGAGCGTGTTGAAATGGTAACTGTTACCATACAGCATCTGTGACTCCCACAAGCGTAGTTTGATCTGAAACGCTTTCAAATGGCTGTACAAAACTTTTACTAACTGTCCTTGTTTTAGAAGTTTCAAATTTAAATCATTCAAATAGCCTGTAAGATCGACCAGAAATGCCAAGTCACATATCCACTTTGAGTCACTTAATTCAGATAGTGGTTTAGCTTTTATTTTCATAAAGTCTGCTATCTCATTTTTAAGCTCGTAAAACCGTTTCAACATTTTTCTTTTTCTCAGCCATCTGACTTCACAATAATATGTTACGTCGTTATATTCAGCTGATATTTCATCCAAAAACGCCTTGAACTGACGATGGTTAAGTCCTCGGGATCGAATAAAGTTGATGGTTTTACTACCACATTCATAACATTCTGGAGTCGAATGGACTTGGAACACAAGTTCTGTTGGTGGATAATGCAATGAAGGATTATCAAATCATCTTTTTGTACATTTAATTCTGTTGTTTTTTCATACAAAATTCCGATGAAACCTTTACGTATGCCGACGATAGAAGGTGCACCATCAGTGCATATTCCAATTAATTTTGACCATGGCAAGCCAAAAGTTGTGAATACCTTTTGAACTTCAATAAAAAATATCCTCTCCTGTAGTGGTTCCTTTTAGCGGCTGTAAAGCAAACAATTCCTCAGTAACAGTGAACTCCTTATCAACACCCCGAATAAATATAGCCAGTTGAGCTGTGTCAGACAAATCGGTGCTCTCGTCTAATGCTATGAAAACATTATAATTTGTAGTGCTATGAAAATGATTCAAAACCAGCCATACGGTCAGTCAATGTTGTTTTTATATCATTAGCCATCATTTCTATATGTCGAACAACAGTTCGTCTTGACAAACTAATTTTTTCAAATTCATTTTTCTTTTCAGGACACAAAATACCGCAAACTTCTAGCACTCCTTTCTACACTCCTTGATAAATTCTCCTTCGGCAAATGGTTTTAATGCCTTTGCCAATTTTGAGCTAAGTATAATACTATCTTTCACAACATTATCAAGTTGTGTTCTTTGTTTATTAAACATTTGTTTCTGTTTTTCCAAATTTGCGGCAAGCTTCTGGATTTTTTCTGTTCTTAATTGTCCTGTCAGTGAGTGCAGCGTAGCATGCTTTTTGAGTAATGCCTCTTTATATTGAATTCTTTCATTACTGAAATGGATTCATTAAGCAGCAAACAAATAGGATTACCATTGTGCAAGATGAAAAAGAATTCTTCAGTCCATTTTTCTTGAAACTGGCGACCCTCTGTTTCTACTTTTCGTTTCTTTCCACCAGAAATCATTTTTGTTTACTTTTCGTTCAATAAACTTAGTAACAAACTATAGTTAGTAACCACTTAAGATGCACACAAAATCACAACGCAAGTTGATGGCTCGAGCAGTTCGCTAGGATATCGCTTGTCCAAGTTATCACCTCGGTACCTCAAATAGAACTGAACTAACGTTTTTTTTTTCTGTTGGCCCTGCGGTCATGACAGCTTCATCTAATTAGGCTCGTAAGTGAGGACCTACGAACTATTGAGTGCAACGATTCTGCCGGCGGCGAGGCGGCGCGAAGACTGCAGTCCCGAAGCACCCCGACCCCTGCTTTCGGAGTGAGGCTCCTCGAGCTAGGGGGGGGGGGGGGGGGCTCGATGCGATTCAAGAGCCCCTCAGAAGGAGGTACGAACCTCGGCTTGAATCACTATCGCAATTTTGTTTACGGGTCGCAAGACTAAAACGCCCCGCATCACGGGTGTTGAACCTCGTGTGCGGGGTGTGTCTGTGACGACGCGTTCGCCGGCGAACGCGGTGTGCCCTAGTGTTCTATACTAGAGTATGAACTAACGTTCAGGCCATCCACCCGCTTATATAGGCAAAATGAAGGAATAATCTGGAATAAACTAGTTTAGAATAATTGAGAAGCAATAAATCTTTTGATGTGTCGCTCGTGAGGCGGCAAACCTCAAAGAATTTGATCGAGCAAGCCGAGTGGTGGCGGTTATCAAAGTGTGAGGCGGCAAACATTAACGGATTTGATGTGTGCCGCCTCACTGTCACTCCCGTGAGTATAAGTACCTATTGTATTTTTTTAATTGGGTTTTATCAAAATGTCTCACGGGCCGGATCATATTTTACAGCGGGCCGAATCCGGCCCGCGGGCTGGTTGTTGCCCATATATGGTATAAACCCTCGAAATAGGACTTGCAAAGAACACTAACATCTAACACACGTCAGTCGTCAGCACAGTGAATTCTTCCCTACTTCCTAAGAAATAAGATTGAAAGTAATGAGTAACAACCCAAGAGGAAGTATAATCCAACAGTATTCCTGAGATATCTTGGACGCAGCCCGAGCAAGATTAGAATGTAACAAATTTCTTGTATTTACGCGAATACTATACATGGAATAAAATAAAATTTTACTTTTTAAATTCCCGACATTTCTACTTAAAAAAGTTAAAGTTAAACGCAATAAAATTCGTAAAATTTGTTTTATTATAATAAGAATGCCTCTCCAGCAACCAGCAAAGAAAGAAGTAAAAAATTCTAAATGTATAAAAAAATAACTTGTGCAAATCAGCAGGGATGCTTAACAGGGCTAAGAAAAGCAGGTAAAAGGATTAATTGAAGTTTTGTCTTTGGCTACATTTTTTTATAAATTAAGATAAGATTGTTGTAATGTAATTGATATAATATTTAACATTCTTAAACTGCGTATCGACTTTGCATTGTTCTACTGCATTGTTCGTCCGCGGTAAACCTGTGTTTTGGCTCGCGAGCCAATTATAGGCTGGCTGCGCAGCCAGGCTGCGGCGGCTGAAATATTTGAGCAGCCACTTCTAAGCAGCCAATGGACGGCGAGTTGTGACCCTTTCTTAGAGGGATATGGACGTAGAAGAACTTGTAATTTTGTGCGTATTTCGTTAAAAACGCCAAGCTAAAAGACATTCAATGCATCCTTTTTTTTTTTAGAACGGCACTCAAAAGGCTTTTTTCATACCTGTTTTAAAGATGTTCGCGAATACCCATACCGGTTTTTTAACTACACGAGAATGTCAGTGCAATCATTTGATAACCTTTTGGAAAATATAAGAAATTCAAGCAAGGGCACTGATACTCCCATAGATATATCCCATATTGCTTTACGGTTTTCAATTTCACGAATAAATTTCTCAGTGTCAAAAGACATTTTGTGATTTCTGAACACAAAATACGCCTGGCTGCTACGACAAGTGCGCGGTGACTGACGGGTGACGGTAGCCACATACATTTGCCCTGCTCGCTCTGGCTGCGCGCAGCCAACGGGCTGCCGTGCAATCGGACGCGCTTTTATGGCTGCCGCAGCCGCGAGTTCGTGGCTGCTTGGTGCGCGGGCTCCCATACACCGTCATATGTTCGACTGGCTGCCGCAGCCTGGCTGCCTAGTGCGCGGGGGGGCTTAGCGAACAATTTGGTTAGGTATGAAATAAGCCTTTTGAGTGCCGTTCTAGAAAAAGAGGATGAATCCAATGTCTTTTAGCTTTGCGTTTTTTACGAAATACGCACAAAATTACAAGTTCTCCACGTCCATATCTCCCGAAAAAAGGGTCACAACTCACAATAGGCCGTCCATTGGCTGCTCAAATATTTCAGCCGCAGCAGCCTGGCTGATCGGAAAGTTCGTTTTGTGCGAGGCAACCATGGAAGTTGTACGTCGGCGAAGTGCAGCGGTTTGTTGTGATAATCACTACATTTACTGTTCCATAGAAATTGTTTAGTACCATATAACCTAATTAAATTACGACACTTGTCGTTATTCATGTTTTTCCCTCGCGCGCCAATTAAAATACGTAAACGACCGTCCTAACTGCGCGAGCACAACTCACTGAGATTCCTTTGCCGTGCCGTCAAAAACCGACACAGATTGGTTAGTCGCGCGGCACGTTCGAGCGCGCCAATGTTCAAACTAATTTATGTCTACTATTAACGAAATGCATTTTTTTAAAACACTTAGAACTCTTACCATACTACTTGCAGTAGGATCAACATTGCCCAAATTATCATTAGCAACACTGGATTGTGCCTGTAAAAAAGCATTAACTTAGATAAAACATAAAGAAGAATACTTATAATAAATGTGAGATATTTCTAATTAAAAAAAATCATCAGATTTAACATTTGCAAGTACTTTGGAAACTTTCAATATTTGCTACTTTGATTATATAACTGTGCCCTCGAATTGTCTCTTCCAGGAGGAGTACAAAGGGTTTACCTGCCTTCACTTTTCAGAAGTAACCCCTCTGAAAGTGACAATTTATAAAATAATTATGTTAAAAGCTAGCAGTCCACTCAATAGTCGAATGTCTCTGCAACAACACATCCTTTGACTGTAGGATGTAGGGCAGGGGCACAGTTAACAAGTGTATTGCCAGACTAAAGATTAAGATGGAATGCCTCATAGCTGGTGATTGGAGGGTGGTGCCTACTTTAAGAGACATTTAGGCAAAGAGGAGCCAAACAAAGTCAACTAGAATTATATAATTACTTTTTTGAAATGTTAATATAATTTTAATATAAATTAGTGAAACTGTACACATTTTGTACAGTGTAATCAATTCAACTCTCAGGTGATTTTCTCTTAAACTATTTAACTTATTATTTTTGTCATTTTGCAAAACAAAGTTACAGCCAACATACATTTCACTGTTCTATATTGGCACTGAACACAGCCCCTCGTTTCTGAGAGGTTTATGGAGCAATCAATCAATTATGCTGCTCCAGTGCATGTTGGCAGACTTCACATGGCCATGTAATATTTTATTCCTTAGACATATAACTAGTTGTAAATATCCTCTTTGCAATGCAAATAAACAATTTTAATTTTTTATATTTATTTTTTAGACATGCAGGTTTTCCGTAAGATGTGAGACCACAGAGAATTAGATAAATCAGCACATAAAATTGCAACTCACAATTTAATTGGTGCCCACAGCGATAGAATCCGAATTACTTGCTAAGCTATCTTGGCTCACATTATGTATAAAACATTAAACTATTAAAATACTTGTTAATTACCTAACTGTGAATTACATGCAAAATAAACAATGACTCCGCTTTAGAAACAACAACCCCAAATATTAGGTTCATATTCTTTTGAATAGAATAGGTTAGAGAAGATTTGTCTAGTACCAAAATATCAAAGTGCAGAAATTCGTCGTTATGAAGATGATACAATTTATTGAAAAATCAGAAACATGTAATACAACAGTACCAAAAAAAGTAACTAAATGGTGACAAATATTTAATTTCATGAACTTTAGAAAGTTAAATGATGTTAACCAAATAATACAATTACAAAATAAAAAGTGAAACTAAATATATTTGCTATGTATAAAGCCACCCACCAATAATATTTGTTACTGTGGTCCCGTCTTCAACTGATTCTAGTAAAAGTGAAGTGATACTGGTGTTAGTTACTATTGAAATAGTAACTGGCAGTACTTTCAGGAAGTGGGTTTTCATTGATTTAAGGAGTTCCTTAAAGCAATAAAATATGGGTAGGAAATCTAATTATTGGTTTTATTTAATTCATTCTCTACCATATTTGTAGATCCCAAAATTCTCACGAATCAGAACAGGCCAACCCCCATTACATGTAGTCTTGATGCTACTACCCCACTAGTGACTTTTTACAGCCTGTAGTATGGAGGGAGCACAACTTGCCACAGCAGCTCAGGCACACCTGGTGCCAGTACTATGATATGCAAGAGCGAGGGCTGTACTTCTCGACTTGCTGGAGCGGTTTTATCGCAAGCTGCAATGTAAATAATTAAGTTGACTTTAAATTTAATTTTTTAATTTTGGGTATTAACATAATCTTAAATGTAATATTTAAAAAGGTCTCAAAAAGGCTTTTCTATGATTTAATTCACCTTTGGAGAAATATTCCCTCCTCCCAATATTATCTCCTACAATTTCTTCTGCAATTACTACTTTGCAGACATAACAATCCTTAACAGCCTTCATAGAGGAATTGAAAAGAGAGGGTGGTCCTCTGTTTCAAACCCTCTGCAGGGTTAGTGTTTCTAAAGCACTTCTTAAACAACTTTTTATAGACTAAAATATTGCATTTTAATAACATACCAAAATGTTACTAGAAAGAGTTGTTTCTGGTACTCCTGATAGCCCAAACACTGAAGTATTTGTGCATATTAATCTTAAAATCTTTTCTTCAGCCTCAGTAAGCTGTGTACTTGTATTAGATCCAGGTGTAAAACGATTTTTACGAATTTTAAAAGCTTTCTTTTTTACATTTGATTTCCAATCCCTCCAGGTCTGTTAATTTTTTACAAATTACTGATACATTAAATTAATATTTATATAAATAACATTTAGATGTGATAGAAAATGAATAAAAATAAATTTAAAAAAGGACATTATTGTGAAAAATACACACTGTAAATACAAAAAACGATATAAAATACCACCCAAAAGGAACAACAGTAAAAACAAAACCTAGGATCCAAAATAATTAATCAATAAATGATACCTGTTGCCACTTATCGGGAGTTTTTATGGCACCAGAACCGAATCCAGAATTGGCATTTAATTTTTCTGTAATTTTTATCCAAGCATTTGTCTGCCTGATCCTGCCTTCCAAGCCTGTGAATTTACCAATAGCTAACTCTTTGTCTTCTTCTAGAAAATGTAAGAGCATGTTCAATTGCTCGGGACTTGCTTTACGTCTTTCCATGATAATACTATTATATTTTAAAAGCAAAAATAGCTAACAAGTCAAGGTTTAAATAAAAACAGTAAATATTAAAAAAATACGCAAAACATTTCTTTTATATCAATTAACGGTAATAAATAACAGTAAACTTAGAAATTATTTTGACTATCATCGGGTTTGATTTTTATTTCAAAGCTCAACGATATATACATCAAAAAGGTAGACAAAAGCCTTGCAATATGAAATTTCTATTTATAAAAGCACAAGCTAACTAGAAAAAAAGAAATCCATGATAATTTTATTCAAATTTTATTTATTTTTGTGTTAACTGTCAAGTGTCAATGTCAAGGAACTGTCATTCATATAAATATGCACTGACTCGTAGATAGAGGATTGACTTATTTTTTGATTGATTAAGATACTATGTCTATGCACTGACTTAGAAGTATATGGATGGGCATACCAAAAGAATTAGCGTGACTACCTAAACAAACCTGGCGCATAAAATGGCCGTCTTTTATAGGGTTGTGACTCAGCAATATGGGCAGCTGATATCGATATTTTTACTAATATGAGTTTGTTCTTATTTCATATAATTATAGAAATTAAATCTATAGCCGAATTGCGTAACACACCTAAAATAGCAAACCATACCAATTTGACAGTTTAACAACATCCATTGCGTGGTTTTTGTTGTTGAGCAAACGAATTTTTCAATCACATGATGCAATGGATATTGTTGGGTTGTTAAATTAGTTGTGGATTGCTATCCAGAGGCTTCACCGCATATGTACACTTATGCAATGCACACTCTGCTACAGATTTTTTGTGTTAGATACACAGTCAAACAATGAGTTAAGTATGCAGGCAGCTAACTTGCAACTTGTTTTAAACAATGTTCTGAGTGTGCTAAGTGTTTACTCAAGTTTTAAAGTTATATTACTTTTGTATGAAAGAGGAATGTGAAATTAAAGGTCTCCGTTTGAACGCTAATAAAACTAAGGTTCTGGTATTTGAAAGGAACGAAGAGAGAACGAAGTGTGAAATATGGGTAAATCAGGAATGTCTAGAACAAGTAAATGAAATTGTATACTTGGGGAGTGCTTTTAGCCGGGATGGAAGATGTGATTTAGATGTGGACAGGCGTGTCGCTGCCGGGAACAAAGTCAATGGTGCCCTGACTGCGTTAGTCAAAAGGCAAGGCGTAGTGAAGAGTGCACGCCTTGCAATACATAACGCAGTGTTGGTACCGACTTTGTTATATGGCAGCGAAACCTGGGTATGCCATAAGAAGCATAAAAGCAAGTTGAATGCAGTGGAGATGCGATCTCTTCGTAAAATGTGCGGCGTTACCATGGCCGACCGAAAGCGAAACGAAGAGATTCGCAATATGGCAGGTTTGAAACATGACCTTATCACAAAAATTGATAAGGGCGTGCTTCGGTGGTTTGGGCACGTTGAGCGAATGAGTGAAGACCGAATGGTGAAGAAAATATATAGCGCGAAAGTTAATATTAAAAGGTGTCGAGGTAGACCGAGACTAACTTTCGAAGACCATGTGAGCAAATTGCTCGAAGAGGGTAGGGTCAAGAGTACTCGGATACCTAGACGTGCATGTATGAAGAAGATAATGAATCTGAAAGAAGCGAAAGAGGTATGTAAGGATCGTGACACTTGGCGATCTGTTCTCTCTGGCAACCCCGTCAGGGATTGTGCATGAAGATAAGTAAGTAAGTAATATTTCTTTTGGCGCGTTTGAGAAAAATGATGAGAGTAAATTTTTTACAACTTCAATTGGTAATTGTCTGTCAATTGTTAAGTTTTCCTGAGAACTGATAACTATATTCGAGATAGTTATTATAGTTATTATTCATATATATATATATATATATATATATATATATATATATATATATATATATATATATGTATAAAACGTGTTTTATATTAGTTACGCTAAAGAAGTATAACTTATTACGTGCGTACATAAGTACACACACGTTTTGTTTTATATCAATGTGATCAAAGTCAAAAAGTTATAACGCACACAACAAAATAAATATTGACAGAGTAGTGTGAAAATGAATATTTTTGCTTGTATACCAAATAACTTTGTTTACTGTACAATAATATTGTACAGTAAACAAATGTATGGAGATGGGATGGAGAGCCTTGATTCCATATTGTAATCCCATATTATAATATTTTTAATATAGAACAGAACAGAACAGAAACTTTTTTATTCAATATAGATTATAAATAATACTTATTGAAAGTCACTCTTTTGTTTGATTACCACTGGTTCGGAAAAAACCTCTGTCCTGGGAAGAACCAGCAAGAAACCCAGCGGGACTTTTTTTTAAAATAACAGCTTATATTCATGATGTTACACAAATTAACAACACAACAAATTAGAAATAGCTTGGTAGCGATCACCTCATTTCCAGGGGTTATTATCATCCATAAATTCCTTAATATTATAATAACCCTTTTTATACAAACTTAGTTTAATAAAGTTTTTGAACTTTGAACAGGTCAAACTTTGTATATTTTCTGGAATTTTGTTGTAAAAGCGTATACATCGCCCCAAGAATGAATTACTGACTCGATGGAGTCGAGTAACTGGTACGACTAGCTTGTGTCTGTTCCTAGTATTTACAGAATGAATATCACTTATTTTTGTAAAACTACTTTTATTTTTGTGTACGTACATTACATTTTCATAAATGTATTGAGAGGCCAAAGTTAATATATTAATTTCCTTAAATTTTTGTCGCAGTGACTCTTTAGGCTTTAAATCATAAATTGCTCTTATGGCCCTCTTCTGCAAAACAAATATAATTTCAGTGTCAGCTGCGTGTCCCCATAGCAAAATACCATACGACATTATGCTATGGAAGTAGCTGAAGTAAACTAGTCTAGCTGTTTCAACACTGGTTAAACTTCTAATCTTTTTTACAGCATATGCTGCAGAACTAAGTCTGCTTGCTAGTTTTGATATATGGGGGCTCCATTGAAGCTTCGCGTCTAGTGTGATTCCAAGAAAAATGGTGGTATCTACAAGACTCAGTTTCTCCCCATTTAAAATTACATTAGTATTTAATTGTTTGACATTTGGAGTCACGAACTTCATACATTTTGTTTTAGTGCCATTTAAATGCAAATTATTAACATCGAACCAATTTACTAATTTAGAGATAGCATTATTTACTTCGTCATATTTTAGTAACTGTCGACTTAATTTGAAAATTAAAGAAGTGTCATCTGCAAATAATACTATATCATGGTTATCCCCTACTATGTAAGGTAAGTAATTAATGTATACAAGAAACAGAAAGGGGCCGAGAATTGAGCCTTGAGGCACGCCCATTTGTACCATCGATCCGGAAGAGCTCATATTGTTAATGACAACTTTTTGCGTTCTCTTACTTAAATATGAAATAATTAATTTAAGGGCATCAATTCTTACACCGTAGTGTTGAAGTTTCCTGATTAATGTTTCATGGTGAACACAATCGAAGGCCTTGGATAGGTCACAAAATATACCCAAAGCATCCTGTGAATTCTCCCATGCATTAAAGATATATTTAATCAGCTCAACACCGGCATCAGTTGTCGAGCGACCCCTTGTGAAACCAAATTGATTTTTATGAAGTAAATTATTTATATTAAAAAAATTTAACATTTGAACAAGAACAATTTTTTCAAAAATCTTACTAAGTGTTGGTAGTACAGAAATAGGTCTAAAGTTGGCGGGGTCTAATGTACTACCAGATTTAAATAAAGGTATTACTTTACTATGCTTCATTAAATCAGGAAACACACCAGATTCGATACTAGTATTAAAAATAATAGCTAAATGAGGCGCGATTGTATCTATTATAGACGCAATAACTTTAACGGAAATCCCCCACAGATCCGCAGTTTTCTTAACATCAATAGTTTTAAAATATTTTACAATATCTTTTGATGACACTTTATGAAATGTAAAATTCTTTGTACACACATTTACATTTTGTTTAAGTAATGATTCGGCGACGGCAGGAGAAGAATTCAGTGACTTAGTGGTCAAGATCGGAATATCAGTAAAATATTTCTCAAAAACCATTGCTACGTCCTGATCTGATACAGTTAATTTGTTGTTAATCAAATAATAATGATTAGTTGAGTAAAAATTAAATAAACTGTATTTAAAATCAATACTTACTAATTATTAATTGGTATATAGGAACGTCCTACACATAATTGATCACAAATGGTAAGTTATATAAGCATGTTCGGTCCTGCCGGATATCATATTTTTTTTTTTATTGAGATTTTAAATGAAAAAATATTTTTATTTTCGCAGGTACATTAATTTTGTTCATTTAAAATTCGAAAATCTGGCATGATCATGAAACGGTGGATGAAATATGATATCAAGGATTTATAAACTATTATTATTATTATTATATATTCATAACTGAACAAAATTAATTTATTAAAATAATTGCTATCGACACCATGGATAAGAGTGTACGACACTATTTCAGTGCTTTTTTGACAGTTTGACAGTAGATCTACCTCAAAACTTGGCGCTTATTAACATGGCGGCGCAGTCACGCAAGGATGAGCTAATGACGTCACACAAAAGTATTACCAAAATAAGCACTTTACAAACTGTAGATGTCTCTCTTTTCTGTTGCAGCTACTGCTTTGTTAAAAAGAGACAAAACTGTTTTTGACAAGTGTGTGTCGATTATATAGATATTTGTATAACTATTATTTCTATAGTGGAATATGCCCTCTCCATAGGTGTATATCTCTCTATGTAAATATGTAATAAGTAGTTTTTTTAGTTTATGGCCTTGTATCTAGACCTTTAGGCCAAGTCTTTAGTATTTTTATTCGGTTTATTATAATTTCCCTACTGTATTTTTGATGAATTTATATAGAGGCACGTAATAGGATCTATTTTTTAACATATCACTCAGGCGGCGGTAGGGATCTTGCACTGTCACTTGATTTTGCACTATGTCACT